AAGCAGGCGGACTGTCCGCCTTACTGACACGCTGTGGAATGCCCTGACAAGTTCTGGAAGCCACCTCCATCAAAATCTTGAGATCCGACAAAGAATTTGAAAGCCAAAATAATTAAATGATAAGGAACCAGGAGCCAGATTCACGAAGCAGTTACGCAAACACTTACGAACCTGTACATCTTTTTCTCAATCTTTGGCGGCTTTGTTTACAATTATTAAACAGTTAATGAGCTCCGAAGCACCAGGAGGCTGTTTATAACAATAACAACAGTTGATTGGGAAGTTTTAACGCTTGTAGACAGTTTAATAAATGTAAACAAAGCCGTCAAAGATTGAAAAAAAAGATGTACAGGTTCGTAAGTACTTGCGTAACTGCTTCGTGAATCTGGCCCCGGGTGCTAGGGCAGTACAGTAGGCGGGACTTATAAAGAGCTACACCTCACCTTCCCATAGTCACCGACAGATAAGACACATTTTCTTCTCTTATTACCATAGGCGTAACATAGGCCACAGGCTGGCGGACATTGATGACGGAGCCCTGGACGCAGAGCCCTCGACGCAGAGCTCTAGAGGCAGAGCCCTAGAGGCAGAGTCCTGGACGCAGAGCCCTGGACGCAGAGCCCTGGACGCAGAGCCCTAGAGGCAGAGCCCTAGAGGCAGAGTCCTGGACGCAGAGCCCTGGACGCAGAGCCCTAGACGCAGAGCCCTGGACGCAGAGCCCTAGAGGCATGAGGGGGGGGGGTAGAAATAGCCTAAGCCACTCTATCCCTTTGAGATGTATTTCTTTCTTGTCTCAATAAACATACTTGAACTTAGAGGCACGCAGATTGAGGCACTTGCTACAGTTATGTGAGAGTGTTCGTCTCGGTGAAGAGTTGGTCACATACAGGGAGAGTCACGCCACCTGTGGCCGCTACTGGCAACCTTTGCAAGAATGAACGAAGGAAGCCTCTGCAACACGAGAGGGAATGCAGTAACAATGGTAACAATGGTTACCAGTAACAATGGTTACTGCAGTAACAGTAACAAAAAACAAAACAAAAAATTTTTTTTTTTTTTTTTTTTTTTTATTAAGTTATGAGGTACATCTGCATTAGTGCAGCTACCCTAGACTATATGAAGTGGAGTACAGTGTGTCAAAAAAGCTAACTAGGTGATGCTATAAAATCCCCATCACACAGGATGGTTAGTCATACAGAGACATGTGATAGGCGGTCTGCACTGGCAGACTCCGGATGCATTTTGAGGATATCAACAACACAAGATTGAATAAGGTAGCAGTGGTAATACAAGTCCCCATCTCGCAGGATGGTTAGTCATACAGGGCCATGTGTTTAATAGCCTGCACTGGCAAATTTTGGGTATACTGTGAGGATATCTTCAAGAATACGAGAGTGAATAAAGTAATTGCAAAGCTCCAGGTACCTCATGCCAACTGGTCTGAAAGGTCTAATAACTGGGCATTCAGTGATGTAGTGCGGGAGATCATGCCGTAGTTCCTGCTCACAGAGTTTGCAACTGGAGTGCTCAGGATTGGGAGACCCGTCACCTGCAGCCACCTGCCACAGGTAACGGTAACCCAACCTGATCCTTGCAACCACTGTGTCGCACAGTCTAGTGGACGTTTTGTGCTGTCCATAGATGTAGGTTTCAGATCTGAACAAATCATAGCTTTTTATACTAGTACTTTCAGGTCGTTGGGAGTCAGTAAGTTCTTTCCTATCAGATCTGAATGTTTGGACCAATACAGTTTTGACAGCAGAGATAGGGATACCTAGATCTAATTCAACTTCAAACTTGTTACACGCTAATTTGGCTGCAATGTCTGTCTCATTATGATGGGTTATATTTATGTGTGAAGGTATCCATACAAAGGAGATTCGAGACCCTTTACTCTGTGCATCAATTAGGTCATTTATAATTGGGAGTATGAGGTTCTTGCTGTCGATCTTCCAAGAGAAGTTTTCGATTGCTTGAAGAGCAGACTTTGAATCGCAGAATATTATTCCTCCTCCAATGTTTTTTAATGTGCTGGTTGCTAAATGTAATGCTGCTAGTTCTGCTTGTGTGGAGGTCAGCCAGTTGTTTAACCTGACACTGACAGACTTTGTGCAAATATTATTTCTATAGAACCTACATGCCGCTGCAGTCCGTCCAGTAGAAGACTGGACTGAGCCGTCGGTGTAGACACAGTGCTCGTGAGATCTTAGACTCTCGATGGAGGAGGCAATTGTTTCAAGAGTGACAGCTTTGAGTAGAGCAAGATTCTCATTATCTTTCTTGGTGACAGGTGTGTATGATACTTGAATGGTGGGGTACAGATAAAGAGGAATATCAGAGACTGGTAGATTGCACTTAAAAGGAATGTTAAGTTTAATGAGATTGTAAGCATTGTTTCTCAGCCAATTATCATAAAAGGAGTGAGTTGGTATGTCGGCACCAGTCAAAAGGGTGTTAACAGCACTAAATAATTTGTCTCTGAGCAATGCAGGAGATGTAGGATCTCTCATGACTTTAAGACAGAAGGTAGTGTTAACTTGCATTATTCTCTCTAGTATGGTTGGAAACTTCAGTTCTTCCCTCATGTTGATGATTCTTGTGCATCTTGGGGCACCAAGAATTATCCTCATGGCCTCGTTCTGTATTACTTCAAGTTTGTCCAACACAGAGGAGGGGAAATTAATTAAGTGCAGAGCATTATAATCAACGAGAGATCTAACAAACATCATATAGAATAGTCTAGCATATTTAATATTGATACCAATATTCTTACCAGTAAGTGTAAACAAAAAAAATCATATTGCCGGATGGTGAAAGTCTAGGGCAAGTGAACGATGCATTTCAGTAGACGGAGACAGCATTGAAGGATGCATATTCAGTCCGTCCTCCGAAGGTTTCCCAACGTCAAGAAGCTGTCGTACCCTACTCCTAACCTACCAGAGGACCCAAAACAGAAAACGGGACAGTATGTCTATTTCGAGCCGCTATCATTTATTCTTGTGCGACAATTATTGGCCTAAGGATGAGTGTACGTCAAAATACGACGTTCTATTAGGAAGCCGAGTTGTGATAGTACCCACGCAACATGCCCCCCTCCCCCCCCACACTACTGCCAGTACACAGTAACACTGTCACGGTGACGCTGTCATTACCCGGCACGGCGCGGGACTCCCAAGGTGCTCCATGTGACCGTCAATACCTACCACCTACCTACGTAAATACGTAAACATGTAGAAAACCAGTGGTAGAAATTGATATGGGTGTTTCATTAGCAGTGACAAAGAGAATACTTAAACAAATATCTAATGAAGATCTCACCGACCTAACAAATTCACAAAGACCTGAAAGTTGTAGCATTAAATATTATGATAGATATCGTAAGGAGACATTCACATATGGGACTAATAGAACAAGAACCCGGCAATGTGATGTTATAGTGGCCAGAATACGCCTGGGATATAGACGTATCTGGCAGCTTTCTCAAAACCCAAATGTCGAGTACACAATGTGTCAACTTTGTGAAAGAGAAAACATGCACTCTCTTCAACATTATATTGTAGAATGTCCCATATTGACCGACTTTCGCCCTCCTGGGCTAAGGTATGCTGAACTCTGTAGTTACTATATGAGTACTGGAACACTTGATGATATATTGGACTTGTACCCAAGATTGACCATGTAATGTATCAATTATACAATGTATATATGTGATGTAACTCTATAACCTGAGCTTGTAAAAGCACCTTAATCACCTTCAGTGATTACGTGCTTAATTGCACACTAGTTTCTCTACCAGCTATCTCAATCTGTCAGAGTAAAAGAGACAAATGTATGTGTGTGTATGTGTGTGTATATATGTATGTATATATATGTATATGTACGTATATGTGTGTGTGTATATGTATATGTATATGTATAAAGTATATATGGAAGCTGATCAGAATTACATTGCACCTTTGTAAATGCACATTAATGACACTATGTAAAAGACACATCAAACACTTTATGTAGTGCATACGTAAATCTGTGTATCTATGTATTTACGTATGTAGGTTAGCTTAGCATTTTTAAAAGCCCCGAATCATCTTCTGTGGTTGATTGTTCAATAAACACTTGAACTATATGTTTAACACATCTCTAACCCTGTCCATGGAGGACAGAAGAAAATTTATATATGCTGGTTAGCATTGTAAATGTCCGACCACGTCTGTGGTAGAAAATAATAATAATAATAATAATAAAACCCTTGGGGTCTAGATAGTACTTGGGCGGGTGATAGAGCGGACAGCCTCCCCCCCCTGGCCTTAGCGCACCCCCACACCCCCACAACCCCCCCCCACAACACCACACCCCCACAACCCCCCGCAACACCATATATGTCAACTTGCTCTTAGACGAATCTTTTAGTGTCAAAAATCCTGGTAAACCTTTAGAGGCGATACTGTGTTGCTTACCGTCCATTGATGGGGGGGATACCAGGGGGGAGGGGGGGTAAACTACCCCCCTCCCCTTCTCGCCTCCACCCCTACACCTTCCTGAGGATCTTCCCCTCCCCCGTTACTGAAGGGGACGCCGACGGGGGACGCCGAGGGGGGGACGCCGAGGGGGGGGGACGCCGAGGGGAGTCACCGAGGGGGGACGCTGAGGGGAGTCACCGAGGGGGGACGCCGAGGGCAGTCACCGAGGAGGGACGCCGACGGGGGACCCGAGGGGCAGATACTTGTTGCTGTTGACCTTTCATGCTCCAGGTGCTCAGGGCTCCGTGAAGTGGAAAGTGACGGAGCAGGTGAGGGGAGAGGGGGGCAGGGGGGAGAGAGGGGGGAGAGAGGGGGGGCAGGGGAGAGGGGGGGCAGGGGAGAGGGGGGGCAGGGGAGAGGGGGGGGGGGGAGGGGGGGCAGAGGGGGGGAAGGGGAGAGGGGAAAGGTGGGGAGGAAGACGGGGGAAGAGGTGAGGAAAGGACTGGAAGTGAGAGGGAAGTAAGGTGAAAGTTGCCAGGAATGTTAAAATGTACGACCAGTGAAAGTGAGAAAACTGTGCTCTTGGGCTCTGGCGCCCGGCGTCCGGCCTCCTGGGCTCTGGCGCCCGGCGTCCGGCCTCCTGGGCTCTGGCGTCCGGCCTTCCAGGCTCTGGCGTCCGGCCTCCTGGGCTCTGGCGCCCGGCGTCCGGCCTCCTGGGCTCTGGCGTCCGGCCTTCCAGGCTCTGGCGCCCGGCGTCCGGCCTTCCAGGCTCTGGCGCCCGGCGTCCGGCCTTCCAGGCTCTGGCGCCCGGCGTCCGGCCTTCCAGGCTCTGGCGCCCGGCCTCCTGGGCTCTGGCGTCCGGCCTCCTGGGCTCTGGCGTCCGGCGTCCGGCCTCCTGGGCTCTGGCGTCCGGCCTTCCAGGCTCTGGCGCCCGGCGTCCGGCCTCCTGGGCTCTGGCGCCCGGCGTCCGGCCTTCCAGGCTCTGGCGCCCGGCGTCCGGCCTCCCAGGCTATGGCCTCCTGGGTTATAACGCCCGGCGTCCAGTAATGGGATCCTAGCGGACTCCCTCCAGAGGGTTCTTGTGTCCATGTAGAGTTAGCAGAAGCAGAGGAGAGACTACTGGTGGAGACCACAGGGGGAGACCACAGGGGAAGACCACAAGGGAAGCCCACAGGTGGAGTATAGCACAGATATACACAGTATAAGAGGGAGGGGGAGGAGACACCTACCTGCCCTTCAACTACCCTTCAGTAAGGTAACAAAGCGGTCAGGTGTAGAGATGACGTAAGCAGCTGTCCAAAGTGGCGGGGGGACCTAATTAGCATGACTGACGTGGTTGTATACAAGAGTGGAAATGTTGTATGACTGTATGCCAGTGACATGCTGCATGAGAGGAAGATCTTGTATGTCGTTAACATGGCGCATAACTGTACACTATACAACCACCTCAGCAGCTACAACTCGCCCGGAAGTTGCAGAACAACCCACGGGAACTACCTTGAGACAAACGCCTTAAGGGGAAGGGAACTATCAGGGGGAAAGCACCAAGCCATTACGACTATATAGCCCTGGGAAGGGGTTCAGGATAAGGATTTGGGATGGGACGGGGAAGGGAAGGAATGGTACCCAACCACTTGTGGACGGTCGGGGGATTGAACGCCGACCTGCATGAAGCCAGACCGTTGCTCTACCGTCCAGTCCCCAAGTTGTCGGGCACACAAACGCCTTAGGCAGCACGCGTCAAGGAAAGATCTGAAGAAGTACACTGAGCATCCCAGCATCTCAGATCTGAACACCCGCCAGATGAGGGGAGATGAGCCAGACATCAACCCACACCTACCCTGAGAGGTGCTTCCGGGGCTCAGCGTCCCTGCGGCCCGGTCGTCGACCAGGCCTCCAGGGGCCAGATTCACGAAGCAGTTACGCAAACACTTACGAACCTATACATCTTTTCTCAATCTTTGGCGGCTTGTTTCCAATTATTAAACAGTTAATGAGCTCCGAAGCACCAGGAGGCTGTTTATAACAATAACAACAGTTGATTGGCAAGTTTTCACGCTTGTAAACTGTTTAATAAATGTAACCAAAGCCGTCAAATATTGAAGGAAAGATGTACACGTTCGTAAGTGCTTGCGTAACTGCTTCGTGAATCTGGCCCCCTGGTTGCTGGAGACCCGCACCACACTGGCTCCACATTACTGATGACACACGCCACAAAACAATAACTTAGTTACGCTCTGGTAAATACATTAAATTATTTTCGACCAAATAAGTGACAATATCTACGTTCAAGGCCTTTTGCGAGTCGGTCATCCGTGACACGATTACTACCTTGTTCTCCAAGAACCATAAAATAGAATAAAATAGATTAGCGAGGTTAAAATAGATTGTTAGCGAAGCTCAGAAGATTCTGGGACTGACAGACACCAAGATGACAGTCGGCTTTACTTGTACAAAACATGTCGACTGAGAAAATCGGCTGGATGTGTGTGGGGGGGGGGACCCTGGGGGGTGGGTGCCCCGGGGGTCTCAAGAGGCAGGTTGCCCCCCCCCTACCAGTACGACCATGGTGACTGTATACTACGGCTGGTAGACTGTAGTATACAGTCTACCAGCCGGCCTATTCTCAGGTCTGGTAGACTGTATCACACACACAACATATTTACGTTGATTTCAGCCAGGTTAATTATGTTAATGAGAGGTACAGCTCTGGACAGGTGTGTGTGTGTGTGTGTGTGTGTGTGTGTGTGTGTGTGTGTGTGTGTGTGTGTGTGTGTGTGTGTGTGTGTGTGTGTACAGGTGAACCTTCCCAGCCTCCCTCCTGACACACACACATGAGCGGGTCACACACACTTTCTCTTCTGGCCCTGGCCAGGAATCTGTCCTCCCTCCCCCCCCCCCCCCACACACACACGCAAGTTAACTGTCCTCTTCCCTACCCTCGCCAGGTAACCCCCCCCCCCCCCCCTCCAACCACAATCGCCCAGAGATCAACGGGAGAGGAGGGGAGGGAATAAGGGAGTGGAGGGAGGAGGGAAGAGGGGAGAGGGAGGAGGGAAGAGAAGGGGAGGGGGAGGGTGAGAAAGAAGGCGACAAGAGAGGGGAAAGGAAACGAGGGAGAAAGTACCACTACACACCATAAAGAAAACTAACATGCAGAAACTGCAAGCAGTACAAAATAAGGCGCTAAGGAGAGCAGCAAAACACCGTCCACCATATGATCAGACAATCCAGGAGCTCCATGAACTCCTGAACATACAGCCACTAAACATCAGACTGCAGCACCAAGCCATCAGGGTATGGAACACCATCGAAATGTTAGAGGACCCAATGTTAGACAGGTTACTCCAAGATGAGACGCCCCGCTCCCACAGCTGGTGGCCCAAGATGAGACGCCCCGCTCCCACAGCTGGTGGCCCAAGATGAGACGCAACGCTCCCACAGCTGGTGGCCCAAGATGAGACGCCCCGCTCCCACAGCTGGTGGCCCAAGATGAGATGCCCCGCTCCCACAGCTGGTGGCCCAAGATGAGACGCCCCGCTCCCACAGCTGGTGGCCCAAGATGAGACGCCCCGCTCCCACAGCTGGTGGCCCAAGATGAGACGCCCCGCTCCCACAGCTGGTGGCCCAAGATGAGACGCCCCGCTCCCACAGCTGGTGGCCCAAGATGAGACGCCCCGCTCCCACAGCTAGTGGCCCAAGATGAGATGCCCCGCTCCCACAGCTGGTGGCCCAAGATGAGACGCCCCGCTCCCACAGCTGGTGGCCCAAGATGAGACGCCCCGCTCCCACAGCTGGTGGCCCAAGATGAGATGCCCCGCTCCCACAGCTGGTGGCCCAAGATGAGACGCCCCGCTCCCACAGCTGGTGGCCCAAGATGAGACGCCCCGCTCCCACAGCTGGTGGCCCAAGATGAGATGCCCCGCTCCCACAGCTGGTGGCCCAAGATGAGACGCCCCGCTCCCACAGCTGGTGGCCCAAGATGAGACGCCCCGCTCCCACAGCTGGTGGCCCAAGATGAGACGCCCCGCTCCCACAGCTGGTGGCCCAAGATGAGATGCCCCGCTCCCACAGCTGGTGGCCCAAGATGAGACGCCCCGCTCCCACAGCTGGTGGCCCAAGATGAGACGCCCCGCTCCCACAGCTGGTGGCCCAAGATGAGATGCCCCGCTCCCACAGCTGGTGGCCCAAGATGGTGACGCCCCGCTCCCACAGCTGGTGACCCAAGATGTGACGCCCCGCTCCCACAGCTGGTGGCCCAAGATGGTGACGCCCCGCTCCCACAGCTGGTGGCCCAAGATGGTGACGCCCCGCTCCCACAGCTGGTGACCCAAGATGTGACGCCCCGCTCCCACAGCTGGTGGCCCAAGATGGTGACGCCCCGCTCCCACAGCTGGTGGCCCAAGATGGTGACGCCCCGCTCCCACAGCTGGTGGCCCAAGATGGTGACGCCCCGCTCCCACAGCTGGTGGCCCAAGATGTGACGCCCCGCTCCCACAGCTGGTGGCCCAAGATGAGACGCCCCGCTCCCACAGCTGGTGGCCCAAGATGAGACGCCCCGCTCCCACAGCTGGTGGCCCAAGATGGTGACGCCCCGCTCCCACAGCTGGTGGCCCAAGATGGTGACGCCCCGCTCCCACAGCTGGTGGCCCAAGAGCCGCGATTTACTAGATAAAAACCCCGCCCCACAGTATATAATTCCAAGATGAAATACTGATTTAAATCCTTCCCCCAATACTTGAAAAAGTATATATATATAAAATATATATATAGTTTTATATATATATATATATATATATATATATATATATATATATATATAAAATATATTATATATAAAATATATTATATATAAAATATATTATATATAAAATATATTATATATAAAATATATTATATATATAATATATATATATATAATATATATATATATATATATATATATATATATATATATATATATATATATATATATATATATATATATATATATATATATATATATATATATATGACAATGTCAGACCACGGAGGAAAAATGAAACAGGAATTTCCTTAAGTACTTTCGTATATTAAATACATCTTCAGAAGGACCTTCTGAAGATGTATTTAATATACGAAAGTACTTAAGGAAATTCCTGTTTCATTTTCCTCCGTGGTCTGACATTGTCATATATATATATATATATATATATATATATATATATATATATATATATATATATATATATATATATATATATATATATATATATATATATATATATATATATATATATGCGAATACACATATAAATCAATAAATAATTATAATAAAATAAATGGCCTTAAACAAAACAACATCGAAACATCGGAGTGTGTATATATGAATGCTACACAGTATTCATCTATAGACATCCATGTATGGTGAAACACATGTGAAGAACCTCTCACACACTCACAGCTCCCTGACAAGAGGGAGCCAGCTTAGCTTAGCTGCCAACACCCACACATGGTGTCAGCAAGGCGGACAGTCCGCCGCCTGCTTTCATACCTCTCACTGTATTTCCCACTTCTATACTTCCCTTCACCTATGCCTCTCCTTCCTCTTTACCCCCCCCCCCCCAAACACACAAAAAAGGAGGGAAAAGGAGAGGAGCAATTAAATGGGTGGTGAAGATGGAGGACCCGGGAGATGTCACGGTTTAGGGAGATGCTCTGTGGGGGGAGGGGGAGAGAGGGCTGGGGGCGGGGGAGCAGCTGGGGAGTCTAGTGTCAAGAGGGGAGGAGGGGGAAGAGGCAAGGTAGCCAAAGGGGTCAGACAGGACCAGTTACTTTCTCCAGTCCTGCAGTCCTGACAAGCAACACCCCCTCCCCTGCCCCCTCAACCCCCCCCCCTCCCCATCACTACACTTCAATTAACTCTTTCCCACGCCCACATCAACCCCTTCCCCCTCCATAACCAGCCCACACCCACACCCAGAGAACCACCCTCACGCCCATCACCACCTTGACCACTCAACTATACCCGCACGCCCCCACGCCCACGCCCCCACCTCCACGCCCACTTGAGGCGCGGCGTTGTGTGTACTCAAATGAGAGCCTGCACA